GGCCTCTAAAGGCAGGGGCACGTATGAGAGCTACTCTACAGTGGGACGGGGAAGACTGGAAAGTAGAAGAGGCCCTTTAGAGGTGATGTGACCCATGAAGTGAAGGCTGCTGCAGAAACATCTGGCAGGAGAAGAAAGTTCTTGCAGCAGCTTGCAATGGACCCTGGAGGCCCCACAGCAGGTAACAAACACTGGAGTCATTCCCCCTGCAAGCAGTTTCATGTGAGGGTCACAGCAGAATCCTCAAGACCTGAAAGCAATTCAGGTCAAGGTAATACCACAGTTATTAAAGCAGCTGAATCTGTCAGTTTTACTGTAAGAAAATGGCTTCTTTGATATCCCTGAAATAAATGGAGCTACTGTATTTTCTGATTTGCCTTCTGCAAAGGAAATCGCTGAGCAGGGACACAGTGTTTGGTGAAAAAAGTGTTAAAATTCAGCTCAGGCTGAAAAGCACTCAGCTTTTAGATGGGTGAAGGCTGGCAGGATTTTCTATCTGCTTTCAGCATTTCTTAAATATTTGTAAATACACAGTTTTGGACTTGGCCTAGGAGTCAGCCCCCATTTTTCCTGGCACAGCCCAGAATTCAGAAGCTTATTATGTGAGGCTTGTGGCACCCAAGGCAAGAGCTGCTCTTTGTGCCGACATGTCTGTCCTAAAGTAAGCCATGGGCACTCAGAGGGGCAGGAGGAGAACAGATGAAGCAGTAGTCTGTTATTTTCTACTAGGAATGTTATGCTAGTAAGATGTCCTATGCTTTTTACAGAATTATACTCTCTTGCTGTTAGAATAATTTCTCCTTCAAAGTCATAAAATACTGCTGGCAAGGAAAAACTCTGCTCTAAGAATAGCCCAGAAATCAGCAAACAGCAAATTTTTATGTAAACCATTTTCTCAAACCATTTTCTCTGGTGCCTTTCCCTGGGAGCTACCCCCACAATTCAAAGTACAGCCATTATGGTGACACTTTGGGTACACATACAACAATAGGACAGCTCTGCAGTGAAATGAGATATGCATCACCTTTGATAAGAGAAGACTTGCAGGTATGCAGCTTTGGCCTTAAATCCCCAATACCTGTCCTTTCCCATCCCCCACTTTTGCTTCATGACCAAAAACTTCACCTAAATACAAGCTTTGTGCTTTCCTTTAACTCTCCCCCAGTCCTGCAGGGGATCCTCTACTTATGAAAGCTTCTTTCAGTGGCTGCATATCAAAGGAAATGTTTTAACAAACACAAAGGACAGACAAAAGTTTTGTGCCCCCTTGTTATTCCCTGCAGCAAATGCATGACTACTGGGGGGATCAAGTTGTTTTCTTGATCAAGGAGTCATTGGAGATTAACCTTCTCTCAAAGTCCTGGGAGGACAAAGCTCCTTTTCCTGGCAGCAATTGAAACACATGCCATGAGATGAAACACTGGGGTAGGTGGCACCCAGACTCTCAGGGCTGGAGGAAAGCTGCCTGGTGCAGGGAGACACTGTTCGTGCAACCTCTGCAACTGTCCAACTCTCTGAGCATTGTGGCAGTAGCTGTGCCACCTCTTTTCAGTCTGGGGAGATTGCTGGGGTGGAATCAGCCCCATTTGGCAGGGTATGGGTGTTTTATATTGTGGCAGGACCTGGGTTCTGGCCTGACTATACCACCACCATTACTTCAATGTGCTGTCCCTCTCTGTGCTTGCCACTGCTTTGGCTCAGACACTCCTAAACAATACCCAGGCCTGGGAGCACCTTTGGGAAACTCCTGGAACAATCCTCACCTATATCCCTTCAAAGTCAGACCCATTTCAATCACACAGAAGGTCCCAATCACACAGGTGTCCCACCAGACTACCTGAATTCCTAGCCTTTGGGCACTGCCCTTCCTTCCAGTGACAGAACCCTTCCCCTAAGTAGCAATGCTGTCAAAAAATGTAGTGTGAGTGTCTATACATTCTCAGGAGAGAGGTTGTTAGGAGGGGTACCCCAAAGCCAGCATCACACAGCAGCTAGGACATGTTCCTGACAGGCTGTGGGGAACAGACCTACACCAGTGTGTTGGTGACACTGGAACTCCATGGCGTGCTGGGGTGCATCTTCCAGGGCTATCCTGGAGCTGGCTGACAGTCTCTACCCCTGCTACCCCCCAGTCTGCTTTCCATCACAGGGGCTTTAGCCACCAAAGGGAAAGAAGTCTGGAGGCTTCATGCCCCTGCCCAGGTAAGGCCAGCTGTGGTGCCTTCTGTAGATGTAAGACCTGCCATGCAGACCATCCAGCTCCCAGACAGCTTCAGCTCTTGTGCTGGGTAGCGAAGCTCTTGGGAATATGCAGGAAATCTAAGAGTAAGTTATTGACTGTGAAAACAGGCCAGTCTGCTGGCAGCCCCAAAACCCCTCTAGATTTAAGGAATAGCACTGTGCAGGACTGGTATGGTGGGCTGCTTGGGAAAGCATAGATCCTCTTTAGCTATGTCCAGCAAAGAGAATGGAACTGGAAACTAAATAGAAAGGGAATTTGGGTCACCAAGGAAGAAAAAGGGCAAAGGAGGGTGTTTATTTCTTTGATATTCTGCTCTTTGCTCCTTCTGAGAAAAATGTTCATGAGAGTCATTCTGCTGCACTGATGCAGCCAGGTTTTCATCACAGCATCCGTGAAGGAGGAGCAGACAATTCTCAACCTGTCTGATTGCTGCTGTGGGCACAGTTTGTACTTGCTTCATTTTTGCCTCTCTCATTGTTTCATGGTTCATTTGGCTGGACTCTTCATACAAAATAACATGTTAGACAGGCTCAGTACTGGGAGTATTGTGGGAAGGCAGGAGCTGTCTGTGGAAGGGATGGGCAAAGGGATTCTGCTTTCAGCATCCATCCCAACTGCTGATGAAGCAATTGTGCATGTTGGCCTTGTCAAACCATTTACAGTATAATAATAATGTTTCACGTCAAAGAAACACACCTATGAAACCAAATCTTTCTGGCCAGTGGCTCTACCCACAAGCTTTCTGCACTGTGTCCTACCAGCTTATTCCAACACTTTGCTTCATGTTAAACAAGGAAGAGTGAAATTAGCATGTGCTTGATGTTTTAGTTGGAAAAATTTAGTTACAAATGACTGGAAAAGATATTTCCCGTTCATTTTTGGTCCCCTTTCTGCAGTGCACGTGTAACAAACCCAAAGATGAGAAGCTTCTTTTTGAAAAGAGCACAGGCAAGTGCCTCAGCTGCAACAGGGCACTGAAATGTGTGCGTGGGGTTGAGGGAAGGGAAAGGGTAAGGCCTGAGCGGAGGCTGGACCAAGAGATAAAGCAGAGATAAGGTCTCTGCAGCTTTCTTCTCCCAGCACTGTTACTCCCTGGGCAGCCCCCTGTGGCTCCAAAGGTTCATTAGCGGCCCCCTCGAAGTGAGGGGACTGTAGAGTGGCCGGGGGAGAATGGCACTGCCCCCCACCACTGTGGTGCATCTCCATCCTGCCCTCCTTCTGAACATCTGGGACTGGGGACGCTGGGGTGGGAGGCAGCCTCGGGATCTGCATCCCTGTCTTGGCTGAGCCTGCTGCCAGAGAGGATCAGGACAGGCTCTTCTGGGTGTGATGGCAGACCACAGAAAGCAGGGACTGGAGCTAGCAAAAGAAAAGCAAAGGGCAAACAACTTAGTTTTTTTTTTTACAGTGGAAAAAATGGGCTGGGGTCTTTTAAACTTGTATCTCATGTCCAAAATTTCATTAAGTTCTGGCTCTAAAAGCCTCACAGCAGACAATGGTAGTGGCTGAGTGAGAGGATGCTCAGACCCCTGCCGAGTTCACAGACATGCAAAATAGGCCCTCTTTCAGTTACTCCAAAGGCTATGAAGCTCAGAAATGCTTTGTCCCCAAATCAAACAACTGTAAAATCCACACCTGAGGGTCATAAAAAGAGTGGAAAAATTTAGATTAGAAGAGGATCATAATGAGGTCCCCAGTCCCACCCCCTGATCAAAGCATGACTGACTAAAGTGAGGGCAGGTTGCCTTGTCAACTCTAGAATATGTCCCCAGATAGAGGTCCCATCACCTCTTATCAGGGCCTTGTCTCCATCAATGGTGCACAGAATTTTTTGCTTATATCCAGTTAGAAGTTCCCCTGTTGCAGCTCATGCCTATTGTCTCACCATCTCCTCATGCACCTCAGAGAAGAGGTGCCTCTTGCTCAAGTGGCTGACTCTTGCTCACGAGCTGACTAAAAATTGTAGCCCACTGTAGCCTTTTCCTCAGGCTGAAGATAGTTTCCTTCACTTCTTCCCATAATGTCCTGTACTCCCATCCCTGGGACATCTGTGTGATCCTGTGTTTGAACTCCTCAGTTTATCAATATCTCCCATTTCTTGGGGAACCCAAAACTTTTCTTTGAAATTCCAGATGCGCTGAGCAGAGGGGCATAGCCCCTGTGTGCAGGGTTTGGGTATGCTTTGTGCTAGGCAGTCTCTAAGGCATGTGCTGATGTTGTCTTTTGCTGCTGGGTCTGGGAGCTGTGTGGGAAGTGATGGCACATGTTCACAGCGCATGCCTTCTGCTGCTGAAAGCTGTCTAGGGCACACAGGAACACTGGAGCATGCTCCTGTACAGTGGCAGGACAATGCCTCAGAGCTCTTGTTGTTTGCTCTATGAATTTTGAGAGTTCTCTATGAACGTCTAGCTGCACAAGGCTATGTTTCTTGCCCAATTCATATATTCTGTCTTACACTCATACATGAACTAATACTGTTTTTTAGAAATCCTCTGTGCAAGTCCAATATGCCTGACATACTGCCATTCTCTCTGTGTTTAGAAACATTTCTTAAAGACTTTGTATTATTTGATGTGTACATTGTTTCACTCTATGTTTTTTGCATTTGCTAGCTGGCATTTATTTACAGAACAGAACACAAGTACTTTTGACAAGAACATTTAGTGACTGGTTTCAGAAAGATGAGGCAGGGCTTGCCTTATAGACATTTTTAGACCTGTTTAGGAAAGGTTGTGGGGAACAAATAGCTGCACCTACATTTTTCTGTTTTCCACTGGTTTTATTGGTTTATTAAATTTGACTGACTCTTAATAGGCACAGGAGCACACTGGAGTCTGCTCCCAGCTTTCAGTCGGTCTTCCTCAGAGAAATACAGCTTGAGGCGGCGTGAGGAGCAGCAGGAGCAGTGGTGTAGTCAGCCCTCTGTTTAAACAACAGGCGCTGTACCAGAGTCAGGGATTTTGTTTATGGCACAGGTTTTGCACCAGCATAGGTGCCTCTTCAACTTATGTGCAGGAAAGATGGTTTTCTTGCTTCATTCCATTGTGACAGCCAGGTTGTTGGAGGAGGTTAAAACAGCGTTCAGATGAGAGACTTGCCTTCTTATACAGCTTTCAGTTCACCTGAAAAAAAACATATATATGTATTCAGCTTTATACATTTATCTTTATATATACAATAGTTTTCACCTGTTACCTGTTTATGCAGTGATATCAGGCATGGAAGACACAAGGTTCCAGAAGATTAATCTGTCTCTGAGAAGCAAGATCTTCTTACCATGAGTAAAATAAAAAATAAACCCAAAAAGGATCAAGTTCCTTGCTTCTCTCCATCTACCATAAGATTTTTTTTCTTTAATGCAGAAAAGAATTTCTTTTCTAACAGAAATAACAAAGAGATTTGACTCATCACTCTAAAACCAGGAAGTGCTCCTGTAAGCTGCTATCTGACTAAATTCTGTACACTGCAAAGCAAGCTTGCATTTCCCCAAAGGTGATTGGAAGTGATCTTGCTGAGTTCTTTAGTATTAAAGTTGATGCATCTTTTCTTGCATCCAAGTTTTTTCAGGATTGCACATAGGACGCAGAGTTTAAGAGCAGCTTTATTTTAACCTTTTGGAAATCAATTACTTCTTGGTTATTTTCAAGCTTTTGAGTAGTCAGAATAGGAGATCACCCATCAATTCTCACTGAATAGATTTTCAGGAATGGCTGAAATCCCAGGACCTTATCTACTGAGCATTTGTAACAAGTTGATTCTTTTGCTTCCTTGTTCTTTGGCAGCGCCTTATATCTCTGAATGCCAGGAATACATCAGATGCCCTGAAGATGGTCATGTCAAGCTGTGTTTGTGTGTTTGGGGTAGTTCATTCTTGTATAAGCAGGCTTCACAAATAAAGAAAAGGCATCTAGGGTGAACTCCACAAAAATGCAGCTTCCCAGAAGAGTGAGCACTTACATGTAATTGCTTGTAGTTAAATTAGATGAGTGTCTTCCCTTTGTAATGTAATACATGCACAGCCATATCTGATTGTGACATTATGCCCCATATTTCCTTCTTCGAAACAGTAGCAAACTGAAAGGCAAGGTATTATCTTATAATAGTGAATTTTTAATAAATAATCACAGAATCATAGAATGGTTTATGTTGGAAGGGACTTTAAAGATCATCTAGTTCTAATCCCCCTGTCATGGTCAAGAACACCTTCCACTAAACCAAGTTGCTCAGAGCTTCTTGTAACCTGGTCTCGAACACTTCTACGGATGAGGCACCCATAACTTCTCTGGGTAACCTGTTGCCTCACTACCATCATAGCAAAGGATTTCTTACTAAAAACTAATCTAAATCTCTCACTCTGAAGCCATTATCCCTTGTCCTGTCACTAGATGTCCTTGTAAGAAGTCCCTCTCCAGCTCTCACATAGGCTCCTCGGGTACTGGAAGGCTGCGATTAGGTCACTGCAAAGTCTTTTCTTTTCTAGACTGAATAAACTCTATTCTCTCAGTCATTCCTCACAGGAAAGGTGCTTCAGCTGATCATCTTGGTGTCCCTCCTCTGGACCCACTCCAGCAGTTCCATGTCCTTCCTGTGCTGGGAGCCCAGAGCTGGATGCAGGTTCCAGGTGGGCTCTCCCCAGAGCAGAGCAGAGGGGCAGAATCCCCTCCCTGCCCTGCTGCCCACGCTGCTCTGGATGCAGCCCAGGACACGTTTGGCTCTCTGGGCTGGGAGTGCCCATGGCTGGGTCATGTCCAGCCTCTCACCCACCAGCACCCCCAAGTCCTTCTCGCAGGGCTGCTCTCCATCTGCTCATGCCCAGCCTGTCCCCTGATACTGGGGGTTGTCCTGGCCCAGGTGCAGCACCGTGAGCTTGGCCTTGTTGATCCTCATGGGATACCTGTGGGCTCCTTCTTGAGCTTGTGCAGATCCCTCTGGACAGCATCCTGTCCTTTAGGAATGTCAGCTGCACCACACAGCTTGGTGTCATCTGCAGACTTGATGAGGGTGCACTCAACCCCTTTGTCTGTGTCATTAATGAAGGTATTAAATAACACTGGTCCCAATACAGACCCTTGAGGACACCACCTATCACCCTGAATTCCATTGGGACTCTGAGGTCTTGGCCAATGCTCTCTGGATATGATGGTCTAACCACTTTCTTAAGTGTCTAGCAGTCCATCCATTAAAACCATCTCTCTCCAGTTTAAAGATAAGGATGTTGTGGGGAACCATGTCAAAGATTTTATTGAAGTCCTGATAAATGTTATCTATAGCCCTTCCCTTGTCCACTGACAGAGTCAATGGAGTCACTCTATCATGAAATGCCACCAGGTGTTCAAGACAGGACCTGAAGTTTAAATTCATTTTCCTCCAAATCTTTGGGTTCAAATGTCATGTTTTCTCAACCACAAGTTGAAAGCTGAAATCCTTATGTACTCCCATGTCCATGGAACCATGGCTTGTAGAAAAGTATAGAGCACTATAAGACTCCAAGAAATCCATCAGAGCTCATGGCAGCACACCCTGCACTGCTGGCTTCCACAACACTGGAGCACATCTTGGTTTATGGATGCCTAATTGGACCAAGCCCCACTGAGAGTTACTCAGCTTATGAGATGTGCACCAGCATCAGCAGGGGGACATGTGGGAAAGCATGCTTTTCAAGTGATCCTGACTGCAGTCAGGCTCCAGGTGTAACTGTCAAGGTCATCCCTGTCCTTCCTGAGGTGCAGACATCCCACTGGGGAGGGAGGGGAAATGCACTGATGATGGCCCAGTGCGAAAGGTTCACAAGTGTCCCGCAGAAAGGGGCTGACCTGCAACCCTGATCTCTTGCTGCAAAATCATGAACTGTCCTTTGGTACTTCTTGCTCTGACTTTTGCATATTGGATTCTGCGCATCAAGGAAAACTTCACTGCTGTTTGGATGAACTTTCCAGATCGACATCAAAAATCTGTAAGGATTTTTCCTGAAGATTATGTTGGCTACACAGTGAAGAAATATCTTTTGTCATGCCTTTTTGCCATATTTTTGTTATGATAATAACCTGATGATAATTAGATGGACCTTGTGGGCTCTTCAGGACCTGAAGATAACTTCTCAATCCAGGAACGTGCCTCTGTCTCTGGTCTAGCAATATTATTGGCATGTTCTAAGAAAATATTTCCCATGGGTTTTGAATTAAAATTTGCCTTTATATAGAGAGGAATGTAATGCTTATCTCTCAACTTTAACAATTCCATAATCATACCAGTCACACCAGTCTCTATGACTTTTTGCATCTCAGCCTAATTGTTGTGAAAATGCTCACATTTACATGCCTGAGGAGATAACTAGGCAGGCAAAACCCAAATTCCAGGTGTTTGGTTGCAACTCTTTACCTCCTGGAGTTAAAGCCCAACTGGCTGTTTTGCATTGTGGTTACCAAATTGAGAAAGGATTGAATTCCCTGGTGCTTGAGATCCTCAGTGTGTATGTACCCCAAACAGGCTTTCCAGAAGTGCTCAGCCTCAAAGCTCTGAAGCCATTGTAAGTAATGGTCTGCCATACACCGAAATAAAATATTACTCTGGCAGAAAAAAAACATGGAATAGTAAAACTTCTGGGCTCACAAACCAGACCAGCATACTGTCCTGAAGATGGTCAAGGGAAAATACCATTTCAGCTTGACTTTTGAAATTTACATAAAGAATGGGTGGGTTTAGGTACTCTAAGGTAATGTTGTGAGTTTTTTTAAATACATATCCAACTAAGTATCTGTTATTTTATGCATTTTTAGCTTTATGGGAGGATTGGTTTATATGAACACCAGAAAGGTACTAACACTTTTTCCATCAGTGTTAATCCTGTTACACAGTAAGATGGGATGGCTACCTGCTATGTTGGACTTGCCAGGAGTGCAGAGCAAATTCTAAGTGCCTTTCTAAGTAATCCTCTCTGTGCTGATAATGTGATTGATATGTTCTGGACTGTTTTGTTTATGAGACACATATAGTATCAGAAATACAAAAGACTGTCAGAGGGAGTGGTAAAATTACCCTGGAATTACAGTCCTTCAAAATTCTAATAGTAAATGTGACTGCTCATTGCTTCGGAAATCGTTGGGCGTGATAAAGCTTTATGTGAACATTTTAAGTGTGCATAAAAGAATCTAAATGAGGGGGAAAGGGCGCAGCTCCCTAAATTTTTGGCTCAGAGTGTCCAGGACAGGATAGGGCATGTCCTGCTATTTTTCTGTATGGATAGATGTGAACTTGAAACTTAGGTCTTCAAAATTAAGGGGAGGGTGGGGCGAAAGGAGGAGGCATGCTTCCAGAGATAAGCAGAAGACATATTTCCAGTGCAACAATGAGGCCTGTTGCATGTGATAAATTTAATGTAACCCCAAAAGTTATCAAAGTCCACGTGCAGACACCGATCTGCGAGGCCAATAACTGAACGAGTCGTTACACCCCTCCTTGGCCAGGAGAGCTGATGGTGTCCCTGTTAGAGGGAGCTTGCAGGGAGTCTTGGTGAAGCAGCCACTGCCTCTCCCTATTTACCCTCCCACTTCTCCCTTTGCATGGCTCAGCGCTGTCTCCAGGTACTGCCAGCAGTGCCAAGCTCTGCTGCAGTTGCCAAACACAGGCACAGGGATGAGCCTGGGGGCCAGAACGGAGAAACAAGTAAAAGGTTAATCCAGATGTGATACACGGGATGTTGGTCCGTTCCTGGAAGGCAGGGATAAAGCCTCTCTGCTTTGCAGCTGAGAGCTGCATTTGCAGATGCGGCCCTCTCCAGGCAAAGGAGCTGTGTTTCTTATTCCTGAAGGGCTGAGTAGCGTTGAGTAGCAGGGATTCTTTTTTTCTTCCTACTGCCCAGCAGACTGCCGCCACAGCTTTTACATGCAGACGCTGCTTTTCATCAGCAGGGCAGTTATCACCGGGAGATGCAACATCAGAGCCACTCCACAGGAGCTCCACCTTAAATCGCCCCGAAAGCTGAAGCTGGGGCAGGATATGGCAGCTCCGTGCTAAGCTGGGTATTTTCTGCCTGCAAATGGCATGCTTCTGGTTTCAGGGTGGAGTTCCAAAGGTGGCTTCTGATCAGTAAAGCCTCTGTATCCTGTTGTCACTGATCTACTAA